ATTTTCGCATTTATGACGATGTATCTCTGTAGTTGTTCGTAAAATAATTTTTGCTGCGAACTGGTTTATTTTGGGCAAAAAACCCAAGAGACATTTTTTGTTTAGAATGAAACAGGCTATCGAAAATAAGGAAATAAAGTTTTTAATGGTAAACAAATAATAAGGCAAAAAGTTACATCGGAAATAAATTTTAGGGGTTGCGTTTTCCATCCCTTGCAACATTGGGTAAACCAAATAAATTTCTGGCTAAGTATCTTTTTGGTAGTACAAAACGTCAGGTTGATTTCAATATTGTAACTTATTTAGTGCTTTTGAAAAAAATTGTTATACAAATTTTATATACCCCCTTTAAGGGGCTGTATCTTAACAAGGGATGCTCCAATGAAATTTCTTTATATGAAAGATCCTATCCTATGTTTTACACTTATTTAGTTACACCCTGTATAGTCAAGGCTTCTAATGAGTCGAGTGGAGCGCGATACTTTGTATTGATATGACCCAGAACAAGGAAGTACTCACGTTCAACTTTTAAGGAATTGTTTGTATATCGCGTGGATAACCCTGGAAATAGTAGGTAGGTACCTACCTATCCCGTCAGTAAAGATGATTGTGCTGAGCGTCTACACCGTTAAAATAATCAGTTTTTTTATTCCCCAGCTGTCGTCCCCTATAAGAACGACAACCCTCAAAAGTGGAAACTTGAGCGAGCTAACGAATAACGAGGTCTTTGCTTTTAATGTGCGATTCTTATCATTCTGAATTATAATTTTTCTTTGCATGGACGAAACTTCCAGGTACTTTTTCAATATTCGGGGAGTATACTTGTACACCTCTCGGCTTTTGGAGTACCGGATTTTCATCCAATATCTTTTCTATTTCGATTCGATTCACAATTTCTTGAAATTTGGACACCAAATCGAGAATAATTTTTTCAGAAAGACGTCGTCAGGCTGCCGTTAGTTGAACAACTCAGCAACCCGACATTCAAGTTCAATCATGTAATCTCTATCCGTAATTGTGTAACCCATACCCTTGTGAATTCAAGAAGTTATTCCCAAAATCATTTGGGAAAGGGTTCAAAGAAAAAAAATTGGGAGACGATACCTTTGCTCAAAGAGTTGAAATGGTTTTCAGGACAATATTGTCTTTTTCACAAAGTTGAGGGTTTTTGGACTTTTGCGAAAAATTATTCTCCTGGCAGTTTTGCCTTATGTAAAATGTTTTCGTCAACCCATTGTGTATAGATATTGTTAAAACTTTTTTTTCCAAAAAAACGAAGGAAATAAATGAAGCTACATCTAATTACGAATCACTTTGAAACTATCAATAACATAGTGAAACATGAATGTCATTTTTTTACATACTGTTAACAGAAAGCAAACGCGGAGGTAATCGAATTTCAAGCTACATATTATGAAGATGATCGTCCTCGTAAAGAAATCAAAACTGGGCCGCGGTTATGACCGTCCCAAATAGACACAATACAAACTCTGTATGGGTCGATATAAAAGTTGTTTTGGCAGCAGGTCTGATGATATACAAAGACAATTAAATTAATAGGCGCTCCAACTGTTATGTAAGCAGGCCTATTATCGTCACTGTCTAGTGGGAGTCCCGCCGCTCGCCACGCCTCTCGACAACAATGCGAATTCGCAAGCCTTCTTGACTCTCATCTACAGACGAACAATTCGCAAAGGAGGCGTTCTGCACACGTGGGTCGAGGGGAGGGACAAAGGCGGTCTCCGGATTGGTGGGGAGAGATGCTGCCAGCACTGGACCCGACAGACGCATCTTGGCACGCAGTGCACACGCACACATACGTCGCGATCGGTCCGTAATCTGGTGCAGTGCAGTGTGACAGCAAGTGTTAACAATTGCCCGCGGCGAGGTCGCTGCCGAGGTGACAGGTGCACGGTAGTCGGCCCAATCGAACCCGAGTAAACAATAGGTGTGAGGGGTTGCGCAGAGGGGCGCGCATCTATTCGAGACTGTTTCTGTTTTTGCAGTGAGACTAGCAGTTGACGGACAAACAACACGGTGGCTACTGCACATCTACAAGAGGTTCGCTCACAAGCGAATCTGCAATCATGTGTTGATCTTTCGTTACTCACACACCTGAGGTGAGTGTTGTGCTATCTTTACAACCCTTAACGATACCATTACCTGAAACACCTGTAATCAATATCATTCGTGAACGCGACCCTCTCTGAAGTAACATTGTTTATGTCTCTGTGTCAATAATCATAAGTTTAACAATCAGATCTCGAAAATAAAAATTCCCAAATGCCTGGAATCAAATAATGTTCACTGATTTTATTGGCATTTCCATATCATATTCACTGAAATTCAACTTCAAGCTGTCACATGAGTGAAATTAGGGGTGACATTCTACAACAATTCATGGAATTGCAAATATGCACAAGGTGATTTAGACATTAGGTAGAGAAGACACTGATATAGGTTTGGTATGAGATGGACTGAAGGATATCGCTTTTTGTCATTATTCTGAGGTTGTTGCATGGGTTTCACAATTTAGTAAGAAAGTTCTCAATCCCACAATGAAAATTCTAACGAATGATTTTATCTCAAAACTGAAGAGGAGTGCTTCAGAATTTATGGTACAGTTTATGGTTGATATAGTGGTCACGATCATTGAAATGTCACCTATTCAGTTGAAGACATGGCCATTTTTTCCAAGAAATTGATTGAATTCGTTATAACCAATGAGTAACACTGTATACACCCGGTAATAAAAATAACTTATTGGATTTCTGATGCTCTTGAAGGTCAAAGTCGCGATAGATTTCTTTTTCATAATAAAGGCACTACTTGTTTTGAATTTTAGTAATATTGATTGAGACAAATAGAATCAGTTATAGCCATTTCTTCAACGATAAGAAATGTTGATGAATTATGTATCTGTGCTTTTCTTTAGAGGAAATGATAAAGGTAGACTCGTGATGTCAAAGAAGAAAGTGTTCGTTATGAACAGTGTGTTTTCTAAATAATAACCACATAGATGCTTACAATGGTAGGTACAATGTACTTATATTCATAATTATTTCTTTTATTCGCTCACCTACCTTATTACTAATCTAGTACGCTAATCACTCAATCTAGTACCCAGGTGTAATTAAAATTATCCAGGACATCTGACAAAACTTCCTCAGTGAAATATTTGAATAGTACTTAATCACAAATAATAGTTCTTAGTTATTATTAATTGAGTGCAGTAACTCGAAACACATTGGGGCAGATCCATCAGAAGATATTACGGATTCCATTCAAATCGACACTCATATAACTGTCTTTAAATTCCATTTTCCAAAAACATACTTATTAACTCACTGAATTCATGGAATATCATATGTTGCCTGTTGAATTATTATAATTTCTTACATCAAATTTGAAAACTATGATTATCCACTGAAATGATGACACAATTATATATCAACTCCATAGGTATACTAATGAACTTTACATTTTTCATGAATCAACCCATTTGAAACCGAATGTTATTTCTGCGAAATGTTTCTGCTGATCACAGGAACCGAAACCCAATCATTTTGCGATCTTGCTGGTTATATGGTCATAAGAAACCAATAACATCAACATTTTGATAATTTTTCAAGGAAGATTAGTACCCCGCGCGGATATTCAAGGCCATCAATTTGACAGTTCATCATTCAGAATTGAATACTTTCAGTATATATGTTAATTGATTTCAAGTTCTTCTGTTATTATTTCTATATTTCCAATAGCATATAATTGATAGTTACTCAGGAATAAACACTATTTCATAAAATTCGTGTTTATTCAGCCTTCTTACCTATACGAACTACCGAGTATTTGTAATATTACATATCCACGGAGTTAGGTTACTTCAATTATTATCATAATATGAAGGATTTTTAAGTACTGCTCCTTAAAGCATTTTTGTAAAATAGAAAACTTATGGAAATAAAGCTTTACTAGGCAGAATGACCTTTGATAATATTCCTAAATTCGTCATCACTTTCCTTATCACTGAAATCGTTCAACTATAGCGATGACTATAGCAACTATAGCATTAGTAATGGTTTTGAAATGAAGTTACTTTCAACAAGTAAAGTTGAATATTTTAGTATCTATTGGGTTTATTTACAATTTATGATGCACTGTTTGGAACCTTTGGTGTAGTAATGAATATTACTGGAGTTTTTTCCCCAACACCAAATCGTTATTTTCAACACCTCGACACGTGTTTCGATCACCAAGTGATCATCTTCAAAGAGGAAGATTTACAATGTAGGTAAAATTTTTGTGAGGTCTGTAAATGTCAGATTGGTGAGTGAACGATGAGTTTTTGCAGAAAGTGGAAAACATTTCAAAAATTTATTCTAAACCCAGAATCTTCCTTCCTCATCTTTTCATCAATAAAATTTGACCCAGCTGATTGGTAGATGGAAAGGTTACTGACATAACCAAAATGTATAATTTTCATTCATGAAATTCTAGATTTCTTCCATGGTCGGTTTCAAGGATTATTTATAATTCGCAATTTTTCTTCAGCAGTATATTATTCGACCGTAGTAGATAGGTGCCTACCTGCATGTATGGCATTTTCATGATAGTTGAACAAATTCAAAACTGAATACACCTAAGAAAAATATTGTACAGAATTAGTAGTAAGTATATTATTCAAAAACTATACCTTGATCGATAGGATTAGAACCATCTAGCTAAGAATCTATATATTAACGAATGCACTATTGCCACAAATAAGTATAACTTTTTCTCTACAGATGTTTCGTTAAGGAAGTTAGCATAACCAGATGATGACTTAAACTGATGGTTCAATTAGTAATGTACAGAATGATAACTTGGCTTGAGAAATTCGTGTCGCATACGTTATATATTGGTAAATGGTACCACCTATGCATCAATTTTGAAAATACATGAAATTTTTTTGGTTTCGACCCCCAATTCATTTCAAAATATTGTCTTGTCGATTGTTTCTTCTGCAATTTTTCACTTCCTCCGTATATAAGTATAATAAAGTGAAGGTCAAGCTGAAGAGTTCATACATAAACAAAGCAATTTCAATAAAATATCAGGTTTCAAAATAGACGGCTTTCCAAAACGTTAAAGTTTTTCATTTCATTAATTATTCATAATTTCATTATTTGGGAAAAAATTAGGAAAATAATGTTACCTACTAATGGAATTTACCTTCAAACATTTATATTACTCTGTATACTTCGTCTGAGCAAACTTTTGAATTGACTGTATTATCTATTAGTCTGTATTTATTGATTTTCTGAATTGTAGAATGTTATTTAACATAGTATTTTTCGTGGGGAAATATTTCGAAAAAGAATAGAGTTTCTCTTATTTTTCTCATTCCAGAAATTCAGCCATTAACATTATTTGTCATATCAAGCTTGTACCCAAATGAGTTCATTGACTCTGAATACTCACTTGCTTCTCAAACTAAACGTTATTTATTTATTTTCCAGTCTCTCCAAACGCCATCGGTCGTATAATACAATGTCGATTAAACATTTGAAACAAAGTTACTTCATCGGCAGATACCTGCAATGTATTTATTATACCGACCAGACGTAAACAAACTTTGAATCGATCACCGATGAATCCTTCCATTTATTTCACTGAGAGATATCACATCAACAAATAAAAAAAATCAACAAATTGCTGACCGTGCCATCTGTATGTATGAACTACAGTTTCGTATGAAATATACATACATATAGATCAGACAATTTTGTTCGTATTGAAGGCACTATTGTGTCGATCCATTTGTTTATATTGAATTACATTGAGATGGATTAGGTTTCCTTTTGTGTGAGAAAGACTTGTTGGAAAATTTATATAATGCGCAAGGTATAAAAGGTATCTTGAAAGGTGGTCATCAAGCAGGTAAACGATTTAACAACGAAAGTTCACTGAATCAAAGCTTGATGGTTTTACAGACAAATTGGAACATTACACTATGTTCTTCTTTTGAAGTTTTATTATATTATGTTGGAATGTATTATGCGGGAGAGTAATTTACTGAAGAGACGTTTTATTTGTAACAGCTAAGAAATCTATAGCATTTTTGTTCCTTAAAGGTATTATAGATGAATGTGTTTCAGTAATCTCTTCACTTTAAAAAGAAATGAATGAAGATTTTTGCTGAAGAATATTGTGAGATAATTCCCAATAGATGTATATTAAATAAGACGAATTGAAAATATGGATAGTTCTTAAGTATAGCCATTCACTATGGTCGTGGAGCAGCCAAATGTCTGGCTCGAAACGAATTTTGAAAACAAAATCATAGCGAATTTATTAAGTATTGCATTTGGTTTGTTTGACAGTGGTCGACAATGTATCATGGTAAATTTCACTAGTTCGGACTTCCATTGTCTAATATGATATAACATAATTTGAAATTACCACCACCCGAAGACGATTGTGGATACTAACAATCAAAACGTCGTGAAGTAACTTGGTTTGAAATCTTTAAATTTTTTTTTCATTATTTTCATTTTATTGTATTCATTACACAATATGTGATGCTCTGTTTGGAACATTTGTGTAGTAAAATGAATATTACTGGAGTTCTACTCAACATCAAACCGTTATTTTCAACACCTCGACACGTGTTTCAACGCTTTCAACCTCAGTTTAATCTTCCTCCTGAAGATGATCACTTCACTTGGTGATTGAAACACTGGTCGAGGTATTAAGAATAACGGTTTGGTGTTGGGATAGAACTCCAGTAATATTCATTGCTCAATATAATTGTTATTTTTCAGAGATTTCAAATCATATTAGAAAAATCCATATTAGAAAATGGAAGTACGAACCAGTAAAATTTACTACATTCAGTACTTCATTGGGTGATTGTTAACATGAGGCAACAATATTTGTCTTTGGAGAACACAAAAGTAAAATTTCTGGTAGACAAAGTATTTTGAAGAAATATAGAAAAATATTATTTTCTCAAACAGATGATGATAACTTATTCGATTTATTACGCTGTTGTCGGTCGGTAGCCGCTCGGTTCGAAGTGAGTGCTTTATTCACTCACTCAAATCTACCGCCGTGTTGGTCGGTGGTTCAGGACCCAGGC